TGCTGCAGCAAGCTATCAAATACGGCGCATTTCTCGGCTTTAAAAAAAAACACTATGCATCGCCAGGTGTTTCATCGGATTAGAGGTGTTACCTCCTTTGCACAGTATCACAGTATCAGCTTAAAGCACTTGTTGCAGGCTGCTGAGTTTGCATCTTTTGCTGTGAAGTACAGCCAGACTTTTGACCGCTTCGCCTTTTTCGTCATTTTTAATCTGTAGCTCTGCTCTAAAAGAACATACGTACCTGGGCCCGCCTACTATCTTCGGAAACGTAAAATGATTGGCTAGAATCTAAAGTGTATCACAGCTCAGGAAAAAAAAAACACCGAAATAAAGCACTGAAATGTGCGCTGCTTTTCGGTCTGGTTACTGATGGCACCGGTCCGGTACCCATCCCTACTTGTAACAACAGTGCATGAGTGAGTATAAATAGTGATCAAATTGTAACGTAAGCCACTGTTTGTGAAGGCGTTTTACACACTAATTTAAAGGTTCATACAGTAAGCTAACTCTTTTTGCTGTCTGTAAACTGCTAAAAAGGTTTATGTGAAGGAGGTTCCAATGTCTTCTAAGAGAATTTTCAATAAACAAATGAATCCTACATCCTAGTCTAAAGCTGATAACAGTCAAAAACAAGTTACTCCTACTAGTTGCAAACATACATGTTGCGTTTGCTCAGTGGATACTTTGTAAATAGTCTAATGCAAAACTCTGTGCAGTTATATGAAACATTAAGTACACCTTTACTGCTTCCATAGGAATTAAGAGGGTAACAGCCAGACCCTCCTAATCAAATGTATATGATTAACCGATCATCAGCAAGTGTCTTGCACCCTCTAAAAAAGAATTCCCAACAAATTCATCCCAAGGTCAAAGAGTACAATGCTCAGGGAAAAAAAGAGCTACACCTCAGTCTCTACAGGTTTGAGTTAGCATGTTAAATATTAAAGTTCAAGACAGAATTAGAAGAAGACCGAAAAAGTATAGCTCATTTAGAACTGCTGTCAGGAGTAATCCTCTTCTTTCTGAAAAACATGGAAGCATGGATCAAGTTTGCAAAGCTGCATCTTAACAAACAGCAATACCTCAGGAACAACATCCTTTGGACAGACGAGACCAAAGTGGAGATTTCTGGCCACTATCAACTGTCAAGTACGGTGGTGGAGGGGTGATGATTTGGGTTGGTTTTCTAGCCACGTGACCTGGGCACTTTCCGATCACTGGATTTCCTCTGTATACCAAAGTATTTACAGAATCAAATGCGAAGCCATGTGCTGGACAACTGAAGCAAATTAGGTCACGCAATGGGACAATGATCCTAAGCAAACAAGCAAATCTACAACAGAACCAAGGCAGTGCAATGGCCCAGTCAAAGTCCAGACATTAACCCAACTGAAATGCTGCGGTGCTGTGCATGAACACATCTCCATACATCTCAATGAACTGCAGTAATGCTGCAAAGACGAGCGGGCCAAAATTCCTCTACAGCAAAGTGAGAGACTGATGAAGTCATACAGAAAACAACTACTTTACATTATTGCTGCTAAAGGTGGTTCTACAAGCTACTGAATCATGGATCATGGGGTGTACTTACTTTTTCACAGTTCTGTACATAGAGCTTTCCAGAAACTTTGTTTTTTAAGGGAATATAGGTGTGAGCACTTTGGCCACTTTGTTTCTGTGCTACGCGGCCAGTGATGCTCAGCACTTGATCCCCAGCTCAAGAAACCACTCTGTGTAAGTTTTACATAATATATGTGCACCATTTGAGCTGACTGGCTGAACTACATCCACAAGGTGGGCTGTTAAAATGTGTAATTCATAAACTGAAGTGATAATTTCATGGTGCAAACCTTCCACAGATTCATATGTTAATATCCTCGCCTGTAGACTTAGTGGAAGTGAGGGATTGGAGATTATTTTTATTTTGTGTATTTGATGCAGGGGTTTGTAAGGTGTCTGCAAGCGCCAGAAAGCTTTATTTTCAACTGACAGTGCATTCCTTTTCTCCTGCCTGCCTTTATTATCAATTGCTATTTTGAGCTTGGATTTTCTTCTAAAATTGGCATTATTGTTATATTCCTTCTTCCCGTCAACGCCCCGTGTGCTGTGTTCATCGCCCCTGCTGTGCTTCTGCTGCTCATTTTTTAAAGATGCATAGAAGGAAGTGTGAAATCTACAGGATGAGACATGATTGTATAACCTATCACACATTTAATGAGCCATTTCATATCATTTTCTGGGGCTAGGAGCAGCCTCTTTTATGTACATGGTGTAGAATTATGGCCGCCCAAACTGAACACTTCAGCATTGATGTTGATGGATGTTGCGTGAAAGCAGAGTGAAAATGATTTGTTAAGGAAGACACGGCCACTAAGCTGTGCATCCTTGGTTTGTTGTTGCTGCTTGAGCCACACAAAGAGAATTTAAAAAAAGGCTTCAACTTCCTCAGCTCATTATAATGAAAGAGAGAGAGCGCAGAGTGGTACAGTAAGCGGAGAGCAGTGTCGGAGCACCACAGTCAGCAATTTTTATGAAATGTATGTGCGGCTTGATGTACTGCCAGTCGCACACTTTTCAGTCTCCTTCTCTGCAGAGATGAAAATCACATTTGATCCAGTTTGATAACAGAACTGGGTCACGGTTTGAGAAATGTTCCCGGCTCTACAGCAGGGACACACGCACAACCGTAACACATTCGTAGACACGCAACACTCTCTATGCCTGCTTAGTATATAGTTGGCCAGCAGCCCCTCCGTCACCAATTAATTTTATTGGGAGTTAATCACATCATTCATGGTCTTTAAGAACAAGCAGTCGTCACTTTAAATCAAAGCTCTCAATGTACTTCAGTGATGTGGCCATGAATGGAGACATTCTATTTGGGTGAATGGTATCAATTTTATGTGCAAGATTACTCAGTAAATGTAAAGTTATAGCGAATACTTTCAGCTTTAAATAAATATCTCAGCAAGTACTTGTGATCACCAGAGCATGTAAGCTAATCTAATGACTGTTAGGTTGCTTTTTCTAAGTAACACTCTTATATTTTATAGGAGTGTTACTTAGAAAAAGGGATTTACTCCTGCCTTCTTCTCCTAATAGCAGCCGTAGCAGCTTCGTCAGGCAAAACTGTGTCCAGTTCTTGGATTTTTTTACAAAATTTCTTCAAAATTGGCAGCATTCCCACTGGCTTTAGCTTTGTGTTTTGTAGAAATTAGCTAATGTTGCATGCTAAGACTATCCATTATAAACACAAGCTTGTTAGCATTTTCTTAAAATCGTTGCTCAAGGCCTCACAGAGCTGCTAGCAAAGACAATTACAGTTTACTATAAACCTTTAGCTAATATTCATTCGATTATTTATAAATTATTGAACAACACAATCAGATGAGCTACATTTAAATTCTAGAAATTCAAGACAAGGAAGAGGACCAGTCCAACACGCCTGTGATGTTGATGCCTCTTTGCAACAGAGCTGAATCAATTTTTCATGTGCAGTCCATGCTACTTCTTCAGGAAATGACCCAAATCCTTCCTAAAGCACTAGCCCTCTTGTAAAAGTGAACATTTATGAGTTAAAAAAAACAGCTAGATTTAATCTTTATGTCAACGTAAGGGTCCCTGATATTTAGTGATAAATATAAGTGCACTGAGAAGAGTCAACATTTTGGTCAAGAGTTAAAAGCACTAAATTAAAGCAGCAATTTTCCGCCTTTAGTGATAAAACCAAAGAGTCGCAGAGAAATAGGTTATACTACCAAATATTTACTCTCCACAACTATTGCTGACTTCAAACTGAAAGCACAAAATTGGATAACAAAGACAAAAAGACACAGCATTTTAGAGTTCATTTAACTTTATTGAGAGCTGTGAAGGTCACAGAGCAGCTAGCCATGCAGAGAACTAGCCTGGTAGTGCGCATTTAGATTTTAGATTCACCTGGTAATACTGATCCTGAGCCAATTTTGGTTCTAGTCAGTGAGGATAATGTTTAAGAGTAGCATGGTACAGACTAATTCAAGATGTAAAAGCAAGTCCAAATTCAAATCCTTGCAAAAGCACACCGACACACGTGTGGATACACTGGAAATAAGCAGAGTATAAAATAAGGTGAGTGACTAGAACTGTTGTGCATAGTATCTGAAAAGACTTGTGCTGACAGGGGTAGTTGTTAATTGAGCAAAGAGATGCATACATAGGTAAGTAAGACAATAAATAGTAATTTCCTGTAAGTTGTAACTGAAATTAATGCCCTTAGTTGGGTCCTGGATAGCTGCAAACCTCTTAACCAGAGTGCTATTCAGAGCCGCTATATACAATATTTTTAAGGCTATTTACAAATACTGTCATAATTGTATTTACAGTTATTGCCACAACAAAGGCAGTCCGTGACTGCCTTATTGTTTTCAAATGACAGAGCAATAAACCAAGTGTCGTGAGGTGATTTAGTCTTTTTCCTAACCCTGGTCTGTCTTTAATACTTATCACTTATGTGTGCTGGGAGAAACTTGCCATTGATTTAAAATAACATAAACTTTTGAGTGTCTGAGAGACTGAAAGTTGGAAGAGTTTAATAAATCATCCTGGATTATTTCTTTGCTCTGCTCTGTCCAGGAGGAAAAGCAAGCACATCAAAAAGTCCTAACATTGACACCATCCTCATGCTGAAGTACACAACTAGATATGACCGCGAATATTACAGGACATTACATACAGATAGACATGGCTTGGTGTTTATATGATGAAGAAAGCAGATTCTAGTGGATGGTTTTTAACGCTACACTGAACAGAGTGAATTATGAAATCTGTGTGTGTAAAGAAAGTGCGACTGAAGGGCACACTGACAAAGAAACTCCCCGAGGTGCACGCAACGCATTTGTCACATCAGAGCTGTGAAGAGCACAAATGTACGATATTCCAATCACCGGAGAGCAGTCTGAAATGTAAAAACCTCAGAATCTGTGTGTGTCATTAATAAAAGATGTAGCCGAGAAGACTTACTTTTATATATTATGTAATACCTGAATCTTTTTCTACTCGGAGCAGAAGTGACACATATCCATATCATGATGTAAAATGTGCTCATATAGAGCTGCAGTGTGGACATCCAAATATGGTTTAAATTCTCAGCTAAATCTATCAAATCCAGGCGGTTTAACAGGGTTTCAAACAAACAGCCAGACAGTGTGTTTGCACAACGCACCACAATAAACAGCTACAAACTTTCACAATGTCTCGTTTCCTCTACAAAAACAATGACATTAAGACAGTTTGCTTACAATGTCTCTTTAGGCTTGGACAAGCCTCGACATCATAATTAAAAAGTCCTCTCTTCTTTCTCACAAACAGATGGCCAATGGAGATGGCTATTGAGGTAGCCAGACTTCCTGCACACTTATCCTCTTCCACATAATGCTACATTTCATTTGTGAGGGTATAAAAAAGGAAAGCTGTGCTACAAGAAAAGTAGCTCTAAATAATTGCAAGGAAGCCCCTGCATCCTTTAGGTCTTAAACTGCGGTAAAAAGCAAAGTTGTGAGTTATCTTCCACTCACACTGCTTTCACTGCCACATTTTTGAGATGGAGGCGGGTGGTTGGTGGTCAGTGAGGTGTTGGCTAAACACTCCTGAGTATTCCTCCATCACTGTAACAAAATGAGGGTCAAGGCGAAAGCAGCACCGTCATATTTCTAGCAGACACTTCACAGGAACCAGGCCCCTCTTCTTCCCGCTGCTCAGCCGGAGGAAGCCGTCAATCTCCTCGTTCTTCCCGATACAGATCTGCAGAGGGAGAGTCAGACGGTGAGGAAAGGCAAGAAGAGAGGACAATGGAGCAGGTGGAAGGGCAAGTGAAATAAAAATAAATAAATATATGTGAGTTTCTGGACTGAGGCAAAAAACAAAAACAAAAACAAAAAAAACAGTCATAACATGCAGTCCTCGGTAATCTCAGCAGTTTTTTTGCATTCATTTGCATAGATTTTGAAAAGGCTTTCAGCGTGCAAGAGAAACTGAGTGTATTTTACAGTCTCACCTGGGACTCTTTCACAGTCATCTGGCCTTTGTCTCGGTTGCCGTGGAAACCAGTAGTGACCTTCCACACCCTCTCACCAGGGCGGATACGCTGCACAAAGTTGGCCGGAAAAAATCCCACCTTGTTTCTGCTTTTCCCCTGGTAAACACACCCAACCAAGGACACACACATACACAAACATTTAGCCCGTTAGTCTAAACAGAGAGGAAAAAAAGGTCTGCACTGGTTGTAGTATAAAAATAGATCTCACTCACTGGGTTTTCACTCAACTTTGCTCACTCGCTTAAGGTAAATTATTTCATATCATGTCCGCTTATGTTCCAACATGAGTATGTTATTCAGAGGCAGCTTCCTCTGCAGCCCTCAAATAAGCATCACATTTGTACCACAATAAGAAAAATGAATTAGAATGAACCGTCACAATTAGCAAGAAATCTGGAATTAAAAAGAGATTTCTGAGTTTTTGTTCCCTAATTAGCAACACAGCCACTAGACCAAAAAGCATTTTTGTATTTGTGAAGCCCTAATCCCCTGCTATTCTCTTCAGAGACTCTGGCACACAAGCATACAAAACCCAGGAATGCTGGAGTTGCACAACTCAAAATGTACCCATTTTGCTGGCTTGGCTGAGTCCTTGCTTAAACTGAAAGCATATATAAAAGGGAAACAGCAGATTTCTGCAGAGTGTAAGTATCTCTTTTGGAAGGTGGTTTGTATGTTTCTTTTGTTATTTTTGTTTAAATAACAGTAGCACTGTTTGTGCATTTGTAGCTGAAGTCAATAGACTGTCCTGAATCAGTTTAAACACATTCTGAATGAAGAATTGTACTGCGTTTAAATCAAGTCACAAATATTGTTTTCTGAAGTAATTTGGTTTGTACTCTTTAAGAAGGAAAATAGAAAAATCCAACAAAAATATTTATTTACAGTCAATTTTAAATGAGCCCCTTGGTGATCTTTTCATTCATTTAATTGAGGCTTCTTCGTTAACTAAAATTAGCTGCAGGAAAATAGTTCCTCTGCTGCCACCGTGTCGGGTAAGACAAGCTTTTACTTTTCCCTGATGTTTTGTTATGTGAAGACTCGTCTGTCCTTCTGCTGGTCAAGGTTAAAATCGCCTGCCGTCTTATTAAAACACAGATTGCAATCTGTCCTCTTCCTCTTCATGTTAACTAGCTCTGCTAACAGTCACACCTGCCTTACTTCAGGGCTCAACTATCAACTCTGTTACTGTGACCAAACAGCTCTGCTTTGAAAGGAAGTTCAGATGTCGAGCTGAGGGTCCCATTTGTGTGTGATTCTGATGAATATATTGAGATACCCTGGATAAGTAAATATGTTATTTACAAAAGCACTGGCTCAGTTAAAAAGAAAGAAAATGTAATGCTTCCGAATGACTTGGTGAATAGATAACACTTCAGTGCATTTAAATATAAAGTCTGTTTTATAAAGCCTACCTTCCACCAGTCTTCATTGGAATCATCTGTCACTTGAATTCTGTCACCAGGCCTGCAGAGAAAATAGAATATAGACCAGAGTGCAGTGAGCTGAGTATCCTTTGAGGAGGATTTTTACCACTTTAAAAGCAATAGTGTCAGGTTTGATGTTCACTTGTAATTTTATTCTATTTTTACCAAAAAAATAAAAAATAAAAAAAAATAAACAGTTAGTGTTAGATAAACATCCATCCATCAATCCATTCGCTTCCGCTTATCCTTTTTAGGATAAGCGGGGGGTGCTGGAGCCTATCCCAGCTGTCATAGGGCGAGAGGTGGGGTACACCCTGGACAGGTCGCCAGTCTGTCGCAGGGCTAACACACAGAGGCATACAGTGAAAACTAATTCGACGCATATTGGCACCTATAGACAACAGGAAATACAAGATACAATACTTCTGCTGTCTATCAACCCTTATTACAAAGTAAGAACTGGAGGTGGAGGTGGTATTTTTGAATTGATGTAAACCATTTAGAGTTTTTCAAATGTCATTCAAAATACTAATAATAGCAGTAAGTATACAGCAGCAGAATAACACTGACCATTTTCAGGCTAGCGTGTGTGTTAAAGGGTTTGCCTGAACTGGAACACTTATGATCAACCATTTGTGTCTTGGTGGGTTTTTTTTAATGTGCTATATAACAAAAATGGACTTCACTATGTATTTGTTCCCTTTTCTATTATGTATAATCCTGTAAATATCACAGCAGCCTGAGACGCTTCTTTCCATTAGTCTGAAGGCAACTGAAATAGCTGGCTTCATGCCGGACTGTGTACTTTGGTCAGTTTTTTAAAGTCACAACAGCAATCTTAATAGGCTGACCTAACTTTAATGAGCTGACCTTATTAAGGCCCAACAGTGGCTAAACTTCCTCCGTGTCCTTAGAAAGAATAAACTGGACCGGAAGATGCTGCTGGCCTTCTACTGGCTCCTCAATGGCGAGTGTGCTCTACTACTGCCTTGGTGTTTGGTATGCAGGGGCCACAAATGAGAACAGGAAGGGTAATTAGGGTAATTAACAATGCCCCCCCCCCAAAAAAAATAAAAATAAATCATTGACTGCTCTCTGCCACCCCTGGAGGCCATCGCCAGATCCTTCTGTCTCAGAAAACCCAGGGCCATCACAGGTGACCCTGCCCACCACCTGTTTGACCTGCTGCCCTCTGGTCGGCGCCTCACGTCAATCAGGTCCCACACCTCCAGACTCACCAACAGCTTCTTCCCCTGGGTCATTCAGACTGTTAAAAAACACTAACCCCCCACACCAAACCACAGCCCACCCATCTCATTAATCTGAGCCATGGTCTGAGTAACCCTCATCACTCAGGCCGCTCACACACAGACTCTATACTCAGACGGTCCTTTTCACTGCTTCCAAACACTTTGCTCTCCAAAGTGTGCCTTTCTTTTGCTTTGTATATGTATTCTTCTAGTTTGTATATATTTCTTCTGTTTGCCATTTATTCCTGATTTTTTTTAAACTCCTGCACAGTTGGCACTAAGCACCCATAATTTCACCTTACATATACAATAACAATAAAAGGCTATTTTATTCCAACCAACATTTACTTATCACTTCTGACTTGTGTCTGCACACTTATCAAATAAAATTACAACAGCAGTCAGCAGTCTCTGATGTCTAATAAACTGTTGCTATTTTAAAAAAAAAAAAAAGATTAGAATACTTGTCTATCATATAGTTCTGGTATTCCCAACCTAGTAGAGATATCGGTTTGTCTGAGCTTTTTCTGTGAGTGGCTGATGCAGTACAGTACAAACATAGACATGTGTGCTGAAATCCCAAGAAAAGTGCAGTTAATTAGAGTTTATTCAGATAATATTCATTAATAGAAACACAACTACTTTGTCTATATAAAGCAATAAGAAACATAACATTTAAGTGAAATGTAAGTGAATGCCATAAATTTACCAGACTGATGAATCCAGCAATGTCTGAACACTTATAACATTACTGAGCTTTCTTAGTGGACTGTTGTCCATGTAAAGAAATTCCTGATGTGCTGTCTTCTTGCACAGAATTATCCTCCAGATTACTGTTGGGTGTAATTCTACACTCAGCAGATTCCTGCACCTACTAACATACAAAAACTCCTTTTTTTAAACACACAGTGCAGCTGTTTGTCCTTCCTGACCTCCCAGCAAGCTCTCCCTTTCCAACCGAACCATGCAACCCCCTACAATCATCCTGCTGGGCAGGCAGATGGTGGGTGAATGTCAGTAAAATTTTGTCCAGGTACACATTTTCTCATCTCTCGGAACTGAACAATATTGATAACAAATGACACACAAACAAACAGTAAACAAAGGAATTTTACTAACTGCAGCTCCAAATCGTTCTTCTCCTGAGGCAGAAACTTGTAGAGCGCCACATAGGTGTGAATAGAGCGAACCTCCACTCGTTTTGGAGTCTAACAAAACAAAAACCAGATGGAAAATCAAGATTGCTTTTTTGCATGCTTCTCTTGTGGAATCATCAAACATAAAAATATTTTTTGACAGAATGCATTTGTAATAATTAAAAAAAAGAAGCTGAAATAACAGAGGAATGCTGACTACACACCTTTAGACTGACCCGTTCTTCTGAATCAGCCTTCTCGCTTTCAGGAGGGGTGAGCACTGGAGAGACAGACACAGAAACCAAAGACAGATAATATGCATGAGACAAAGAAAGGTCACATAGAAAAAAAAAGGAAAAAAATCAAGAAAGAGGGGTGGTGTAAGAGAAAGAAAGAAAAGACAAGACACAGGAAGAGGGAGAGCTCTTGTCACTTTGTGGCAAACAAGTAAGGCAGAAGGGAAGGTCATTCACTATAAAGTGGCAGCAGTACAAACAGAGATGAACTCTTCTCCTGGGACTAAAGTCAAAGAGGAAAAGTGCAGAAGACACACACTACCACCTCTACACTGTACTGTATATTATGTTAATGTGGTCCTTTAACTCTTTGACATTTATTTAGCAATTGTCCTTTACCAGAAACACATCACAATGTATTAGAGCTGAACATTTGTTCTTTAAATACTCAAACTGTGTAACGTATTGTTTCAAAATGTGTTTTTATGCATTACATTTTTTCACTCAGTATTCAGATATTCTATAAAGTTGTTTTAATGACAAATTCTAGATTAATCCATTAACAATACCTGTACAGTATCACTTTCAGGACCAATGTACTGGTGCATGTTTTTTCTTTTGTCAGTATGTAGTTAGAAAATGTTACACAAAGAGCCTACACAAGGAATACTTTGGGGGGGTTGTTTGTTTTTGTAAACAATCAGTACGAGTCTGAAGCAACGCAATCTGAAACTAGAGCCCAGCTGCCAGAAGCAAGGAAAAATGTCAAACCTTAAAAAAGAAAAAGAGTAAACTACATCTACCAGAAGCTCTAAAGCTCACACATGGACATGCTCTGTCTCATTTGTTTAGTGTTAGCTTGAAATTAAAAATAGCTTTAAAAGAAAAGAAGGTGGGTTATGCAAGGGACTATTTCTTGGCTAAGCACAGTGACGTACCTGGACTCTGGACCAGTTACCCAACAGTGATGAACAAATACTCAACTAATGTCTATATCTGTCCAGCATGAGAGTTTACCAAGTCTTTTTTTTTTTTTAAAGGGAAATTGTTACTGAATAAGAAACTACTGGTAGCATGAGACAATACCTGCATCCTACAGAGTATGCACAGGTACAGTGGGGCAAAAAAGTATTTAGTCAGCCACCGATTGTGCAAGTTCCCCCACTTAAAATGATGACAGAGGTCAGTAATTTGCACCAGAGGTACACTTCAACTGTGAGAGACAGAATGTGAAAAAAAAATCCATGAATCCACATGGTAGGATTTGTAAAGAATTTATTCGTAAATCAGGGTGGAAAATAAGTATTTGGTCAATAACAAAAATACAACTCAATACTTTGTAACATAACCTTTGTTGGCAATAACAGAGGTCAAACGTTTACTATAGGTCTTTACCAGGTTTGCACACACAGTAGCTGGTATTTTGGCCCATTCCTCCATGCAGATCTTCTCGAGAGCAGTGATGTTTTGGGGCTGTCGCCGAGCAACACGGACTTTCAACTCCCGCCACAGATTTTCTATGGGGTTGAGGTCTGGAGACTGGCTAGGCCACTCCAGGACTTTCAAATGCTTCTTACGGAGCCACTCCTTTGTTGCCCGGGCGGTGTGTTTTGGATCATTGTCATGTTGGAAGACCCAGCCTCGTTTCATCTTCAAAGTTCTCACTGATGGAAGGAGGTTTTGGCTCAAAATCTCACGATACATGGCCCCATTCATTCTGTCCTTAACACGGATCAGTCGTCCTGTCCCCTTGGCAGAAAAACAGCCCCATAGCATGATGTTTCCACCCCCATGCTTCACAGTAGGTATGGTGTTCTTGGGATGCAACTCAGTATTCTTCTTCCTCCAAACACGACGAGTTGAGTTTATACCAAAAAGTTCTACTTTGGTTTCATCTGACCACATGACATTCTCCCAATCCTCTGCTGTATCATCCATGTGCTCTCTGGCAAACTTCAGACGGGCCTGGACATGCACTGGCTTCAGCAGCGGAACACGTCTGGCACTGCGGGATTTGATTCCCTGCCGTTGTAGTGTGTTACTGATGGTGACCTTTGTTACTTTGGTCCCAGCTCTCTGCAGGTCATTCACCAGGTCCCCCCGTGTGGTTCTGGGATCTTTGCTCACCGTTCTCATGATCATTTTGACCCCACGGGATGAGATCTTGCGTGGAGCCCCAGATCGAGGGAGATTATCAGTGGTCTTGTATGTCTTCCATTTTCTGATGATTGCTCCCACAGTTGATTTTTTCACACCAAGCTGCTTGCCTATTGTAGATTCACTCTTCCCAGTCTGGTGCAGGTCTACAATACTTTTCCTGGTGTCCTTCGAAAGCTCTTTGGTCTTGGCCATGGCGGAGTTTGGAGTCTGACTGTTTGAGGCTGTGGACAGGTGTCTTTTATACAGATGATGAGTTCAAACAGGTGCCATTCATACAGGTAACGAGTGGGGGACAGAAAAGCTTCTTACAGAAGACGTTACAGGTCTGTGAGAGCCAGAGATTTTCCTTGTTTGAGGTGACCAAATACTTATTTTCCACCCTGATTTACGAATAAATTCTTTACAAATCCTACCATGTGAATTCATGGATTTTTTTTTCACATTCTGTCTCTCACAGTTGAAGTGTACCTCTGGTGCAAATTACTGACCTCTGTCATCATTTTAAGTGGGGGAACTTGCACAATCGGTGGCTGACTAAATACTTTTTTTGCCCCACTGTAGTCCACCTCCTCTAGGATGGCACATTAATATGCACCATTTTCCAGGAGGTTCACCGTGTCTCCCAGCGCAGTCTCAAGAGCTTGGAAGAGATTCCAGGAGACTGGCAGTTAGGAGAGCTGGACAGGGTGGTAGAAGGTCCTTAACCCATCAGAAAGACCGGTATCTGTTCCTTTGTGCAAAGAGGAACAGGATGATGCCAGAGCTAAAAAAAAAAAAAAAAAGACCTCCAGCAGGACACTGGTGTGAATGCTTCTGACCAAACAGTCAGGCCACCCTCATTAAGTCTGTTCCTGAGAACCCAGTATCCTAGTTGCCCTGTGCTCATTACCCATGGAGCTCGACCGGCATTTGCCATAGAATAAAAGCAGGTCCACTGCCTTGTGATTTTCAAAGAAATAAGCATGTTCATACTGAGCACACGTGAGAGATGTCAAAAGGTCTGGAGAAGAGCTGGAGAATGTTATGCTGCCTGTAACACATAATGCAGCATGATCAGTTTTGGTGGTGGGTCAGTGATGGTTTGAGAGGGAGGCACAAACATATACAGCCCAGGCAACAGCACCCTGACTCAGACTGTCCAGGAGCAGGAGCTCAGTGATGTCCTGGTCCAGATCTGGGAGGAGAAACTCCAGAACACCATCCATCATCTCATTAGAAGCATGCCTGACAATGTTGAGGAGGCTATACAATTAAATTAGTTGCTGAAATTAAATTTTGGCAAAATAAACATCAATTTTTTCACTTTGATTTTCAGTGTGTTTTTGAATCAAGTCCTCTGTAAGTTGATACTTTTCATTACAATTAAAACAGATACCCAGCATGATTGTTTTCCCCTATTGAGATCTGATGTTATGTTAAGAATAATCCTCAAGGAATTTTAGCATGACAACATAACAAAATGCATTTCCTGTATTCAAGAAAATATTTGACTTACTTCCTGGGATGTGATCCTCTTCAGCTATAGGCTGGTTTTCTAGTTTGTCTTGCAGTTTTTCTTCCTATGATAAAGACAGGAAGAACAATATTCTTGCAAGAAATTATATCAACATAGATTTTTCTGAATGATGAGGGTTGTCAGTGTATTTTATGTGTGAGTGTCTGCCTGTGTGCATTTATACCTCATGACAGGGTGATTCTGAGATACTGCTGAAGCTGGATTGACTCAACTGAGCCAGTGTCATTCCGTAGCGCAAGGCCTCATACACAGGATCAACAGTGCTATTATCTGCTTCTACATATGACCAGACGAAAAGGAAAAGCTCATCATATGTGCAGTTTTATAGATGATACTATACTGAGACACACACACGCACGCACGCCTCTCATGTATAAAGCATTAAAGGCCGCAGACATGGTGATTAGTCATCCTATTCTAGTTATTTGCTGCTGAGATAAATCAGTCTGTGCTTCCATCACTCACCCTGCGCAGCAGGAGCCTCTCTAACCACACCCAGTGGATCAATGGTAAGAAGAGGAGAGCTGAAGTTTCTTTTAAAAGCTCCTGTCTGACATACCAGGAGAGAGACAGCAGAGAAGGAAAGAGAAAGGGAGAAATGTTACTTGAAGTGGGAAAATGCTTTTGTAGGCTTTATCAAGGAAAAGCAGAACATACTTATACATACTTACAGAAAATACTCATGAACTCTGAGTAATTGAAAAGGTTCAAATGTGAATGCACTCAAAAGAATCTTGTTTGTGTTTTTCAAAACTGCAAATTATATATTTTCTTTGAGTTTTATTCAAATTAAATAAAACTAATTTTTACCCATGTGAAAAATACTAAAACATACTGCAGTAAATAAAATGCAAAACGTGTTTTATTACACCTACGAGACCTCTTTTGCCTTTAGAAGCGCTTCAAGGCTTAGATTCAACAAGGTGCTGGAAACATTCCTCAGAGATTTTGGTCTGTATTGACATGACAGCCTCCCACAGTTGCTGCTCATCTGTGATACAAATCTCTTGTTACACGACAGCTTAAAGGTACTCTATTGGATTCAAATGTGGTGGCTCTGGAAGCGATTTACGCACACCAAACTCATTGTCGTATTCAGGGAACCACTTTGACATTATTTGAGCTTTGTGACATGGTTTGTCATCCTGCTGGAAGCAGCCATCAAAGGATGCGTACACTGTGGTCTTAATAGGGATGGACACGGTCAGCAACAATACTCAGGCAGGCTGTGGGGTTTAAATGATGCTCACTTTGTACTGAGGGGCCCAAATGTGCCAAGAAAACTTCCCCCACACCATCACTGCCATCTTCATAAACCACCAAAAGCTGAACGCAGGATAGCTCCATGCTTTCATGTTGTTTGTGCTCAACAGAACAGACAATTTCTTTCAGTCCTCTATTGTTCAATTTTGGTGAACCCCTCTATTTGAGAGCCTCATATTTCCTCTTCTTAACTACCAGGAGGGGCACCGGCTGTGGTCTTCTGCTGCTGCAGCACATTTGCATGCAGGCAATCAAATACAACTCTTCTGTCAGATGACACTAGCATCACAGAGATATGCACACATATCTGGTGATTGAAAGCATAATGGTCCAAAGTAACAAAGGCAAAATATTACTGCTGGGATGTCGTGTGAAACAACAGACTATAAAGGTGCACCTTAAAATATGGCAAAAATGAAGGGATATTTATCAAAGCACATACTAAGGTAGTTCATGTGTCTTGAACGCAATAAATGCAAAATATTGTTCATATTTTTCCATCAGAGGCTTTAATTTTATGGATTGTAGCATGAAGGAATGCATTCCTGATGAATGAGCAGGCAGTGGTTCAGTACTGACCCCCCCCCCGAGTAACCATTGGCAGTCAACATCTGACAAGGTGTTAATTTTTGTTAGCATGACGTTTACAAGCAAAGTGTGTTAGCACTACACTAAGCATTAGATGATTTGTTGGATAAATGTCTAAAAACACTGCTGTACCTTTTATATGCCTGCCTTCAGAAAGATTTAATCACGTGGTGTCTGCATTAATTCGTCACAAAGGTTTGTCACTGTCAAACTGAAGCTTGCCAGTACAGATCTGATACTGTACTCCTTTGATATCTGATTGTGTTTCTTTATTTAGTAAGAGAAACATGTTTAGCTACAGGACGTGACTCAGAGATAAATTCCAAAGCCTTGTTTTTCATGAAAGGGACACAAAATAGAAACAGTTTCTAAAGAATCTCAGCTTTATTTAAGCTCTTAGATTGTTTTCTTCTTTCATCTTTTTGTGATATATGCTGAAAATAATATATCAGGTAAATCGCTTTAATCTCTGAATTACTTTTAGCACAGTTGTACTTAAAAAAAAACCAAACACAACACTTTCAAGGTTGTGTTTTTTTTTAGATTAAAACAATCTCATGAAAATTCATGAGATGTTTTTCTATACAAAAATATTTCACAAGGTCAAAGCACACCATACCAGAAATTACTGATAAACAATTGCCATCTACCAACCCCAATTATCACTAAATGGTTTATTCCAGGATCTACAATTTTAAAAATAATAAATATATCATTTAATATATCTGATTGTTCATCGTCTAAAAAAAATTACAGAAATCATTCAAAAGTGAAATGCTGTTTTAAGGTACAGAAGGAGATGATGGCTATTTTCAGGCCAGACAGACAAGATCTTGCCCAGAATTTTTTATTTCTTTTTTAATCTGCTTGTTCCAGAAAATAACCTTCAGCTCGAGACAGAAATAACTGCATAAAACTGAACAGTGAAGCTTTTTGTTAAAAGGGACAATATCAGAAATATACATTCAGATAAATATCTGAACATATCTGCCTAATCAAACCCACTAATGAGAGTACTGCAGTTTGTGTATTTGAAGTATTACAGACTGAATGCATGTGGTAACAGTTACGGGGGGGAGGGATGCAAATCAAATGTTTACTCTCACTGTATTTTAACATTACAGCCATTGATGGCATTTGACTGGCAAAATATTAGTTGACTTTTATAACGAAATGAAACCTGTTTGACAGTGTGCACAGCTATCGGTACGTCTACAAAACTAAACAATGATCATTACTGCACTTTCTGAAAGTTGATCAGACATTACAGGAACAAAAAAGGAGCTGAATGCTGCGGATGCACACCCTCTCGGTGAGGTGACTTCGTCCACTATGCCCTGCTATTAGTCATAGACTCGTGCTGTGTTCAGCATAAAAGTGCACCATAGACAGGATAAAAGATGGATGTAGCTACCATGATGTCACCCAGTGTTTTGTTTTGAATCTGGGTCTGATTACGGGGCACATCTGAATGTGAAACTGCTCATTGAATTGCTCATTAGCTAATGAGCTTACCCTGGATAGTCTCCTATAGACTTCTATAGATCAGATGATCATAGACTGATGAAAAAAGGCCAATTATTACCAAACCTCCTTATTAACAACGGTAATATATAGTTTTACTCCCAGAATTATGTCATTTGTAGTACTTATTAGTACTTCCTGTTGCTAGTACTAACTACAGGTTAGCAGATTATCTCTGTCCTTATGTGCATTAATAAGGCTAAGTCATAAGTTCTCAATAAAATCGTTACATTTGTACTTTTTGTATTTTTATTATTAATGAATCTGCGTGCCATCTCCTCCATAAACTGCCTAAATTATTCAATTCACAATTTGTTTTTTTAAGTCTATGCCATTAATCTTCTTTTTATGCATTGTTGTACCTTTAGCATAGAGACACAGATAAGCAACTAAAGCCAAGTCCTGGTATTAATGCTGTCTTTCACTGAATATTTTAAATATCATCCTTTTTTTAATTTGTTTATCACAAGGTTCTTTACAGGAATTTGGACACACACACACACACACACACACACACACACACAC